CAATTCTCTTCCATTGATCTATATGCCTGTTCCTATACCAATATCAAGCTGTTTTGATGATTGTAGCTTTATAGTAAAGTTTGAAGTCTGGTAATGTGATACCACCTGCTTTGTTTTTTTTTTTTTTTTTTGCTGAGGATTGTTCTGGCTATTCTTGGACATTTGTGTTTCCATATGAATTGCTGTGTTGTTTTTTCTAGGTCTGAAAAAAATGTTGCTGGTAATTTGATAGGTATTGCACTGAATCTGTAGATTGCCTTAGGTAAGATGGACATCTTCACAATGTTGATTCTTCCAATCCATGAGCATTGGATATTTTTCCACTTGCTCATGTCATCCTTTATTTGAGCAGTGTTTTGTAATTTTCATTGTAAAGGTCTTTCACGTCTCTGGTTAGGAAGATGCCAAGCTATTTCATTTTTTTGTGGCTATTGTGAATGGAACTGTACTTTTTATTTGGGTTTCTGTTTGTTTATTATTGGTGCAAAGAAATACGATTGTCTTTTGCACATTTATATCATGAGACTTTGCCGAAGGCCTTTATCAGTGTAAGGAGATTTTTGACGGATTCTCTTGGTTTTTCAAGGTACACAATCATGTCATCTGCAAAGAGATAATTTGACTTCCTCTTTTCCTATTTGGATATCCCTGATCCAGGACTTCCAATACTATATTGAACAGGAGGGATGAAAGTGGTCATCCTTGTCTTATTCCAGTTTTCAGGGGAAATGGTTCCAATTTTTGTCCATTTAGGAGTATGCTGACTGTGGGTTTCTCGCAGATGGCTTTTACTACTTTGAGGTATGTTCCCTGTATGCCTAGATGTTCAAGAGTTTTTAACAAGAAGAGGTGCTGGATTTTATCAAAAGCTTTTCTGCATCTAATGATATAATCATGTGGTTTTTGTTTTGACATCTGTTGATGTATTTAATTACATTTATTGTTTTACGAATGTTGAACCAGCCTTGTTTCCCAGGGATGAAGCCTACTTGGGCATGATGATTTTTGAGATGTGTTGTGGAAGCCGGTTTGCTAGGATCTTGTTGAGAATTTTAGCATCTATGTTCATGAAAGTTATTGGCCTGTAGTTCTCTTTCTTTGTCGGATCTTTACCTGGCTTGGGTATCAGTGTGATGTTAGCGTCATAAAATGATTTGGGGAGCATTCCATCTTTCTCAATTGCCTGAAATACCTTCAGTAGGATTGGAATCAGCTCCTCCTTAAATGTCTTGTAGATACTGCTGAAAAATTATCTGGCCCAGGGTTTTTTGTAGGTAGTTTTCTTATTACATAGTCAATTTCCTTGATTGTTATTGGTCTATTTAGGGTCTCTATTTCTTCTTATTTCAACCTAGGCAGGTTGTGTGATGACAGAAAGTCCTTTTGTGTTTCTGATTGTTCTTATTTGGGTTTTTTCTGTCTTTTTCTTGGTCAGTCTAGCTAGGGGACCATTGATCTTGTTTATCCTTTTGAAGAACCAGCTTTTTGTTTCATTGATTTTTTTGTATTATCTTTTTGTCTTCTATGTCCTGGATTTCAGCTTTTATTTTGGTGACCTGGATTCTTCTGCTGAAATTAGGGTTTTTGTGGTCTTGCTTTTCCAGCTTCCTTAGGTGGTTTGTTAGGCTGTTAATTTGTGTTCCTTCCATTTTCTTCATGCGTGTTTGCAGGGATATAAATTCCCCTCTTACTACAGCTTTCAAGGTTTCCCAGAGATTTTGGTAAGATGTTTCATTTTCATTTGTTTCCAGGTATCTACTGGTCTCTGCTTTGATTTCATCATTGATCCAGGAGTTGTTTAGCATCATGTTGTTTAGTGTCCATGTCTTTGTGGGTTTTGGGGGGACCTTGGTGGTGTTAATGCTTATTTTTATTCCACTGTGGTCTGAGAAGGTGCATGGTAGAATTTTGGTCCTTTTAAATTTGCTTATGCTTGATTTATGGCCAATTATGTGGTCGATCTTAGAATACATTCCATGCGGTGATGAGTAGAATGTGTATTCTGTGGTCTTTGGATGGAGTGTTCTATAGGTATTATCAATTAAGTCCATTTGGTCAAGAGTCACATTGAATTTTCTGATCTCGTTGCTGATTTTTTTCTTGATGATCTGTCTAGAGTTGTGAGTGGGGTGTTGAAGTCCCCAGTTATGATGGTGTTAGAGTCAATATCTTTCTTTAGTTTACCTAGAAGCTGCTTTATGAAAGTTGGCACTCCTATGTCGGGTGCATATATGTTTAAGATGGATATTTCTTGTTGATGGATTGGGCCTTTTATCATTATTTAGTGGCCTTCTGTATTTTTTTTGATTTTTAATAGCTTAAAGGGTATTTTGTCTGAAATTAAGATCGCTACTCTTCATTTTGTATTCCGTTCACCTGAAAGTTTGTTTCCCATCCTCTTACTTTGAGTCTGTGAGTGTCCTTTCTCGTGAGCTGAGTCTCTTTAAGGCAATAGATTGTTGCCTGATGATATTTTATCCATTTTGCCATTCTATGTCTTTTCAGTGGTGCATTTAGTCCATGCACATTTAGGCTAATAATTGAAATGCAAGAGTTGATCCCTGTCATAAGGTTCTTACAGAGTTGTTGTTCCTGTTTGTTCGTTGTCTTTCTTTGGGTTTTAGAGTTGTATAGCTCCATACTGTTGCCCTGGAGTCACCCTCATAACATGTTTGAACTCTTAATGTTTATGTTACCTGAGAAGCAGCAAGCCCCAGGACCTGGCATCGCTCACACACCAGGACACTGAGGGAGATTTCCAATGTACTGCGTACGCTCACCTGATTTGCTCTTTCCAGGATACTGATCAGTTCAGGGGCAATTCTCCAGTCATTCCTAGTGATAAGTGTAATCGACTCTCCACTCCTCCTTCAGAGGGGAAAAATGCATGTAGTTTCATTTGTAATATGTGTTCATTTAATATAGACTGAAGGAGAACAGAATAAAAACAGGGGAGCCACAACTTTCCCACCACAAGCCCAGTATGTGTTGTGCACAAGATTTAGGGTCACAGATCTGGAATCTAAACCTGCAGTTGTTGAACCTGCACACATGGACATATGACAGTAGCGCCCTTAAGATGAAAAGAGTCTTCTCAAGCCTGTGCTAATTTGTACTGTTTGCTAGCAACATCTAGAGTATCCACTGGGTACAGAACTCAGTGGTCACACTGTAGATGTAAGAAGGGTAGAACCGGACACAGCTGTATGAGGCCGACCACAGGGGATCTGGTTGAGTCTAGAACAAGCCAAATGGTGAGGGAAAAGTGCAACAAGCAAGATTCTGAGGGCAGACAATTTACAGGTGAGAGAAAAATATGGGTTTCTGGGTAAGATGCCTATGAGGGGAGCCCCAAGGATCTGGAATTGGGTAGGCCATGCTCACGTACCCTGCACATTCGGTGCACCCTATTCAGTGCACATATTCTTCAATGTTCCATAGAAAATCATAATTATAGTTGTGTGTAATATCATGGACATCAAGACCACAGGATTCCAAGTCAGTTGCAATTAATATTCTTGCTTTCCCTAAGGAGGCAAGTCACATGAATGTTGACTCATTCTGGTATAAACCAATCAAAGACACAAATGAAGTGTATGTTGCCCTTATCATATAATCAGGTTAATTATCACTTATAATAAAATGCTCACTTAGTGAAAATGAAAAATGGAGTTTTAACTTTCTTCATCTGTTACAATAGATACCATGAGTCAGCAAATGGTTATTGAAACCTCTGAGCCATGGCAGAAAAATGTTTTTCAGGTAAATTGAGATATATTCTCTGTTGCAAATTAACAATGTGGTATCCAGGCTTAAACATTCTTTGGGGAATTTAGTTAGCTCCTGGCAGATTAATATTTAGAGCTCTGACAAGCATAGTTTTGGGATACAGAAATGAGAACCTCAGAATGGGTTTCCCAAGCCCAAGTATTGCAATTATTTTAAGTTGCAACAGGTTAGCCACAGTGGCTCACACCTCTAATCCTGGTACTTTGGAAGACTGAAGCAGGAAGGTTGCTTGAGCCAGGAGTTGTAGACCAGCCTGGGCTTGTCTCTATACAAAATAAAAAAAATTAGCCACTTGTGGTGGTATGCACCTGAAGTTGCTGCTACTTGGGAGGCTGAGGTGGAAGGATCACCTGAGCCCAGGAGGTCGAGGCTGCAGTGAGCCATGATCATGCCACTGTACTCCAGTTTGGGCGACAGAATGAGACCCCCCATTCCAACTAAAAATAATTATAATAATAAATAAATTGCAACTCATACTAATGATATAAAAGTACATGCTTTGAATTTCTCTAATGTTCTCTCCCGATCTCTCTGTTCTCTATCACCATGCAGAGATTCTACTGGTATATTTCCAAGAATTGGGTCGCTTGATAAGTGGTCCACACTGAAGCAAAAAATCAAGTCAGGACTCCTATACCACCATCAACTCACTAGTTTTACTCACTACTCTCACTAGTCCTCATCAAGTCAGAACTCCTATACCACCATCATTTACTAGTTTTTTACTATTTTCACTAGTTTTACTCACTAGCAAATGTCTGAAATAACATAACAGACAAATCACTCCCAATTGAAATCAGCATGCAGTTAGAACCAATCATACACAAGCAATGATTAATTATAATGGACATACAAGAAAAATACCTACAGGGTCTTTCAGCAAAGACAATAACTTTGTCTCCGGGTGAAATACTTCCTAGACAAGTTGGATATGAGTTCGTTTTTCTCCTTCTGTGGTGACGATTGTATTTTGCTTCAATGAACTTACAGGCTAAAGGATTCAAAAAGCACAGCAGATTAACAGGAAGGGAGAGACTCCATACATAAGCTCAAAATCATCTTTTTTTCTACCATTGGTTAATGTTTTAATAAACTGCTATCAAAATTATTTGTTTCTCCTAAAGATGTATAGCTTGGCAGCACAATTTACAATAGCAAAAATATGGAACCAACTGTGCTGCCCATCAAAACTGGACTGGATAAAAAAATGTGGTACATATACACAATGGAATATTATGCAGCCAGAAAGAACAAATTATGGACTTCGCAGCAACCTGGATGGATTTAGAGTCCATAGTATTCAGTGATTTACCACAGAAACAGTGAACTGAGTACCACATGTTCTCACTCATAAGTAGACCCTGAACATTTACTGTAATATTATAAGAAAAGGATTGGCAGTAGCTGGAAACTGCTGGGGGGAGTGGGGCAGAAAACATCAAACCAGGCAATTGGGGACCAAAGGGAGGCCCAAACTTTACCTGCATGCTGACCACTTGTATATCTAAACCTGAATTGTACCCGATATTTTAAAAATAAAAAGATGCCTAGCTTGGCCTTTCACTTCATTATTTATTCCCCAAAATAAGTTGGAAACACTGAATGCTTGGCAAAGTACGCTCAAGACAACTGGTTACCACTGAGAGACAGGTTTTCCTCATTTCTCCTATTACCTAAGCCACTATCTTAATTTCTCCATGTCAAAATAAGTCATTTGTGGTTATAAGCAACTTAGATTTAATTATTTTAATTGGCTTTCTAATGCTTCTAAATCTATTTTATAAAGAAAATTGAAATGTCTAAAATATCCAAGTATATTTTAATTATTTTTGTCCTACCAATATTTTCCAAAATTTATAATATAGACAAGAATCATAATTTAAAAATAGAATTGGCTGGGAACTGTGGCTCACACCTGTAACCCCAGCACTTTGGGGAGGCCGAGGTGGGAGGTTTGCTTGAGCCCAGGAGTTCAAGACCAGTCTGGGTGACATATTGAGATCTCATCTCTACAAAAAAAAATCAAAAAATTAGCTGGGTGTGGTGGCATATACCTATAGCCCCAGCTACTCAGGAAGCTGATGTGGAAGGATGGCCTAAGCCCAGAAGATTGAGGTTGTGGTGAGCCATGATTATGCCACCGTACTCCATCCTGGGTACAGAGTGAGATCCAGACTCAAAAAAAGAGTTATCTTAAATATCTTTCTCTTAACATGCTAAAGGGAATGGGAAATATTCCTAGACTCTAAAATCATTACAAAATGAGACACTTCTTAAACTATATTATTAAAAGTCAATATTGATCACAGCATCCCAAGTCATGATTACCAAGTAGGTTATGCTCTTCAGGTTGACACAGTGATTCATTTGCAGATCGTTCAATCTTCCAGGAGTTGCAATAATGATATCTACACCTTTTCTTAGGTCTTCGATTTGTTTGTCTCTATCTCCACCACCATATACACAAACACTTAAAAAAAAATCCAGGCTCATGGTTAGGAAAAAGAATATCTTACCACAACTCAAAAAGCCTAGCAATCTAAGCATTTTAGGTCTATTTTAAAAAAGGTATAAAAATAAAAAAATCATCAGCTGCCTTCAGTGACATCTGCGCCTTTCTAGAACTCTGCAAACCCTTCAGTCCACAGTGGTCTCCTGAAGTGCCACATTTGTACCATTACTTGACCCCACTGCCCAAGATTAGTTGGTTAGATAAGGGGTAAGAACATCCCTGTTGAGCCATTTAGAGTCTCTGGATGTGTGAGATGTGATGGGGAGGATTATAAAGCTACTAGCGATCAGAGAACTGGTGAAGGAATGGCCGAAAAAAGGACTTACCTTCTAAGACCTCCATAGGAATACTTAGAACATTCAGCTTGCACTCGAAGAGCTAATTCCCAAGTAGATGTAAGGACTAACATGCCAGGCCTATTCCTTTTTTAACCCTTTGGTGAGAAGACAGATTAATATTAAACTACCTGTCTCAGATGTGTGGCACGTTCAGTGTTTAAAATTTATAGAAATGTGGTCAGGTGTAATGCCTGTAATTCCCACACTTTGGGAGGCTGAGGTGGGAAGACTGCCTGAGCCAAGGAGCTAGAGACTAACTTGGGCAACATAGTGGAATCTCATCTCTACAAAAAAAATTTTAAAAATTAGCTGGGTGTGATGGCCCATGCTTGTGGTTCCAGCTACTTGGAAGGCTGAGGTGGAAGGACAGTCTGAGCCCAGGAGATCAAAGCTGGGGTGAGCTATGAGCATGCCACTGAACCCCACCCTGGGTGACAGAGTGAGACTTTGGCTCTCAAAAAGAAAAAAAAGGTTTGTAGTAATGAGTATCAAAATCAGAAACAATCACAGACATATGTATGCCTTTTGGGAGAAAGTGTATGGTCAGAAGTTTCCTCAGTATGCTACAGATTGGATAAAGACAAGGTGGTACATTCCCTTAGTTTGATCCACAAACCTAAAAAAAAGAACTGATATTATGTAGAAATGTAAAAATACTTCCCCTTAAGAATATTCATGTATTTTCAAGGATTTAAGATTATCTTATTGAGAGTTTAGTGGTAGGTTTTTAATAAATTCTTTCAAGTTCCAATAGCAATGCATGTTTACCATGAAATATGGAAATGACTTAAAAAAGTCACACACACATACTAAGCCAACATCCCAAATACCAGCCTTTTCATTTAAGATGGCCTTTTCACATTTAAAATGCCAAACATTTTCTCACCAAACAGAGAGCTACATTGGACAAGATAATGTCATCGGTTTCCAATGTTTTACTATTATGGCTTTGGCAACTATTACCTAATGTCTCCTAAAAATGCTTTGCCAATTTATGCTTTCACCTGCACAAGATCAGTGTCTACTGCCTTGTTGGGCATTACCTTTCAACCAATGCAGATGAAAGAAATTTAACACGTTTTGGTGTCTATGTCTACTAAACCCCTATAGAGAGCCCAGGTGTAGGAATTTTTATGTTGGCTGAAAGTTCAGGTGAATAAATCCGGGCATTAAATAGTACAACGTCTTCCCTGTGCTGGTCTGTGCCACTCCTATAAGATCAATTTCTTGCAGTACTATTGGCCATGCCTATGTCTGAAACGGAACAGCAAACATTGAAACAAAAAGTACATCTCTTTGGCCAACTCTTCCTCTTCTCCCATCTCCAGACTTCTTTCCACAAGGATCTTGTGAGTGCTAGCTGGGAGAGTTGCGGGAATGCTAAGACAGTTGCTTCCTGGTGACCTAACTTCTAGCAATTAGGTATCACTGGTGGGGAGGACACTCAGTGAAATATTGGAATTAAGGAAAGCGTACCTGAATGGGTGTTGGCTTTTGATAATCTGCCTTTTTAATGTTGTCCATAACCTCAGGACTGATACACTGAAAGGCATCACCAAACACGCAAGTAGGGTTGGGGATAGGATGTTTCTCACCCTCTTTCAAGTCATCACACATTATATTAAAATTTTCCTTTCTTTAAAGAAAAATAAAGTAAATATTAGTGACTTTGGTTACTTTACCCAAGAAAAGACTTTTTCAAAATCGGCTCTGCTCAGACCTAGAAATTCATATGCAATTGATTTAAATTGGACAGCTAGGGTAGTTACAATGAAATGTCCTAGATTATACAATCAGTCACCTGCCCAAGGACCAAGCCTTACCTTAACCCTCTTTCTGGTATTTTATAGCATCTTAGTTTTTATTTATTTGTTTGTTTGAATTGGAGTCTTACTCTGTCACCCAGGCTGGAGTGCAGGGGTATGCTCACAGCCACCACAGCCTCGACCTGCTGGGCACAGGTGATCCCTCTGCCTCAGCCTTCCAAGTAGCTGGAATCACAGGTGTGTGTCACCATGCCTGGCTAATTTTTTGATTTACTGTAGAGATGAGGTCTCACCAAGTTGCCCAGGTATTCTCGATCCTGTGGGTTCAGGCAATCCTCTCACCTCAGCCTCCCAAAGTGCTGGAATTAAAGGTGTGAGCCACCACACCCGGTTACATCTTAGTTTTTATATCAGAATTAATAGTACAAAAAAGTTGCCATTAAAACCCTCCAATTTCTGCAGTGTGGTGTTTTCTCAAATAACTAAAAATTGAGCTTCCATATGATCCAGAAATCCTACTTCTGGGAGTATACCCAGAGGAACATAAGTCACTCTGCCAAAAAGACACCTGCACATGTATGTTCATTGCAGCACTATTCACAATAGCAAAAACATGGAACCATCCCAGATGGAAGTGGACTGGATAAAGTGGACTGGATAAAGAAAATGTGGAATGTACACATGGAATACTCCACAGCCATAAGGAAGAACAAAATTATGCCCTATGCAGCAACATGGATGCAGTGGAGACTATCATTCTAAGTGAACTATCACAGAAACAAAAAACTGAATACTGCATGTTCTCACTCATAAGCAAGCCCTGATCACTGGTCACAGGAGGGCAAAGGTGGGAACAGCAGACCTGGGCACTGCTAAAGACTGGAGTGGGGGGACAAGGGACTCATAACCATATACTAGTTACCATGCTTACTACCAGGGTGGAGAAAGGACTTGCTCAACCTTCATCTGCACACAACTTGCTTATGTAGCAAATCCTCACATGTGCCCCACAGCTCTAAAATAAAAAATAAGGCCGGGTTCGGTGACTCAGCCTGTAATCCCTGCACTTTGGGAGGCCGAGGCAAGCGGATTGCCTGAGCCCACGGGTTCGAGACCCACCTGTGCAACTTGGTGAGACCTTGTCTCTACAGTAAATCAAAAAAATTAGCCCGGCATGGCAGTACAAACCTCTAGTTCCAGCTACTTGGAAGGCTGAGGTGGAAGGATCTCCAGAGCCCAGCAGGTCGAGGCTGCGGTGGCCAGGAGTGTGCCACTGCACTCCAGTCTGGGTGACGGAGTGAGACTCCAACTCAAAAATAAATAAATAAAATAAATAAAAAATAAACCTTCCCATTTCAGATGACAAGGGCTGAATAGTTTAAGAACATAGTCAGATGTGGATCCCATCATTTCCTTCTCAATTCTTAAGTACTGGAGAAACAGAGAAGCTACTCTGCTCCCCACAGCAAGGACCAGGAACATGTGGGTATTTGAATTTAATTAAATATTCACTTGCTCAGTTACACTAGTTAAACTTTCAGTGCTCAACAGCTACTCCATTAGAGACAAGTTACAGACACATATCTTCCATTACTGCAGAAAGTTTACTAGATAGCAACGCTCTAAAACAATGGTCCCCAATCTTTTTGGCATCAGGGACCAGTTTCAGAGAAGGCAATTTTTCCATCGATGGGGGAGGGGGGTCGGGTGGTATGTACAGTCAAACCTCTTCAAATTCCACCAACAGACTGCTAATGCTCACCTGTATTTGTAGCTGTTCCCAGTACTGGCATCACCGCCTGGGCTCCACCTCAAATCAGCAGTCATGTGAGTGATGAGGAGTGGCTGCACATCCAGATGAAGCTTCCCTGTGCTGCTCACCTCCTGCTGTGCAGCCCAGGAAATGGGAGGAGGTGCTCGGGGCCCCTGCTCTCAAATACAACATGTAGAATTGCAACAAAGTTCTCACTTGGATATGGAAGTGCCAACTCCAAATTCAATCACTCCACATTGTTGCTTACAGGGTTGATTTAATACTAATAACATAACTGTACAAAAGCTATTGAGGAGTGAATGAGAAAACCACCCACCTCCAGTTGTCAACTTGCACTTTTGACATCGACCCTGTTGTTGCTGACTGGTTGTAAAAATTTTTTTTAATTGGCAGTAAATCTGGGGCAAAAGGAGAAATTCACACTTTGATAATGAAAATTTACATTTCATTAACACTTAGTCACAACTATAGAAACTAGATTAAAATACATCCTAGTTACCACACAGTTTCAGACAGCGCTACCCGTCACCAGCTGGGCTTCTGTCCTTCTAAGAGATCTCCTTTTTCTGGTTGGTCTTTCAATCATATTTTCCACTCAAGAATGGATCTGTAGTGTTCAAGTTTAAAACAAAAGCATGCTTTGCAAGACATAAAAGCACCACAATTGATGAATCTGCTCTCAAACATAATGCTTAGACTGCTTTTGTCTTCTCTTTGAAGGCCTATCCCATTTCTTTTTAGCAATTAAATTGACATCCTTGGTCTACTCTCTGAAGCTTCGTTTCTTAAATGCCCAACTCATCTTAAATCCTTTCCCTGGTCTCCCATCCTCAGTCTCCCAAACACACAAATTGTCAAGGCAGCACTGGAAACTTAACATGAAGATGTGCAGACCACCATGGCATTAATCACTAAATATTTTGGCAACATATTAGTGCATTAGCTTTTTATTGTCAAGTAAAAGATGCTATCTTGCTGCCTTGTTCTGATAGCCATGATTAGTGCCTGAATAGTGAAAGATGACCCAACATATGTAATATTCCAAGTAAGAAACTTCTAAAATTCAAAGACCACTGGGGATGGTGGCTCATGCCTGCAATCCCAGCACTTTGGGAAAACAAAGGAGAACTGCATCAACCCAGGAGTTTGCGACCAGCCTGGGCAACACAGCAAGACCTTGTCTCTACCACACACAAATCCAAAAATTTGCCAGGCATGGTGGTGCATGTCTGTAGTCCCAGCTACTTGGAAGACTGAGGTAGAAGAATTGGCTGTGAGCGTGCTTGGCATTCCCGCTTGGGCAAAAGAGTGAGACTCCAACTCAAAAACTCTCCATCTCTCTTAAGAACTGTAATGCTTCTTATGATTGAAAGGTTTTCCTTTGTTATTTTGCCCTTGTCAACTATCACACTAGATGATCAGTCTCTGTTCTACAGCAACAATGTTTACTGATGGTTTGCATGTTTATTCCCTTCACACTAATAAGATTTTCTATCTTATTAATCTTTTGTAGTTAGTCACCTCAAACAAGACAGGCTATAAATCAGTTTAACATTTAATATCCCACTAATAGCATAAATCATAGCAGACGACATAGAATCTATCATGACCTAGGGACTAACTGGAATATTTTAAAATTAATTATCATTCTTCATAGAGATTTCATTACTAGAAATAAGGCATAGACATATTACAGATGAAAAAAACTGCAGTTTAAAGAAACAATACATGTTACAATGCAACACTGGCCTGCCAATTTTTTCCTTTGCCATTTTGAACCTTCCTCTCTAATTTGATCCCAATATATCAATGTCCAATCTCCTGCAACAACAAAGTCATCAGTGCTTTGACCTTTGCTAACAGAAGGTTGGAACTTAACAACATCTGCCAAAAGTATTTTTTATCAGATTAGTTTTTCTGTTTTTGAATAGCCAGACAATAATGCTCGAAATATAACATCTGGAGTTGCCACAGTACATTGCCATGACAATCTAGTCAGTGTTTTTGTCCTCATTTAGCAACTTATGAGAAGTCTGATTTATTGGAGAAGGGAAGGAAAGTAGCAGAGTCGAGTGTGATGCTAAAATACTGTCACACGCATTGCTTAGTCTTTACAATGCTGCCGGGAGGCAGATATGATCCCAGGTTAACAAATTATGCAAAGGGCCCAAGTCAAGTTTTTTCCCAGAAAACATTAAGAGGCAATACTGTCTTCTGAGCCTAAGTCTCCGTTCTACTTCCAAGTTGTGTAGATATGTTCAGTGGCTTTAGCTCTATGCCAACCTCATCTGAGATTTAAAAAATATGAATATAATATTTAAGTAGTTTTCAACATCAGGTGTGGATCTGGGGAAAGTCCATAGTCAGAAGCCCAGGATCACTCCTTACTCACCTTTATTACTGAAGTTAGGTATATTAAAATGCTGTCATTTTTACTTACTACTTTTGGCTAAAAGGTAAGATGGCCAGGCTTAACCACAGAAATTAAGTAGTTTTAAATTAAGGAAAAGCAACTATTATGGGTTTTAAGAGCAAAGAGAATATTTCAGATTAGATTACTGGCAATGTAACGCTTTGTATCAGAAAAAGAAATCAGTTATAACGGCTTCAAACGCAGAATGAAATTTTAAAAATCTTCAGTAAATGGTGGTAGGAAAACTGACTGACCACATGCAAAGGAAAAAAAAAATCTCAAGGGGCTGTAGTTGGCAAATTACTCACCAACTTCACATTCTGAATTGTCATCTTGTTTTTTAATAAAATTATCCATCACTGCTTTTGCTTTTGTTTGCATTGCCTTGCTGCCAAAAATTTTGACTAGTGATACTGGATGTCCTTTTATTATCTAGATACAAGGGGAAAAATAGATGGGACTTATGTTCCCTTATACCCACAAGCAATTACTCAACTACAAAAAGCATAAAAGTATAAGGTGAAGACAGTATCACTATCAACATGTAAATTTCTAATGAGGGGAATTCAACTTATATCCCCTCTGAGTTTTACCTCCTGGCTTATCCAACCTATCTGGGAGGAGCAGGACACTATTAGTTAAACAAGTGACAGCTAGGGAATAAAATCAGAAAATAATATAGATGGAAAATTAGCACATTAATCTGATAGGTGATATTCTGAATCAGTTCTCGTACCTGTAAAATGTGAAAATTTGTTTGGCTAATCTTATAGTATTGTGGAACTGAGGGGGATCAGCCTATGTGCTGTGTAGAGTTTGCTGAACTCAGATTACTCATGTAAATGTTTAACTGGACAAGAGCCTATATTACACAAGTATAATGTTATGGAGGTAAGTTTATAAGACTGATGTGACATTTTGTTGCTAGAAGCTACAAATAACACATTCAAACATGCATCGTTTCAGATACCTGTACTGATTCAATGTTTGTCCAGAAACTACTATACATTGAGTTATCTCCAGGGTGTACAAGCACGTGCAACTCTGTGAAAGTGCTGACATGAGGCAGCTAGGAGATGCTGAGGGGAAGGAAAAGAGACACCCACACAGAATGGGGGAGGTCTTAGACTTCCCCAAGGAAGTGATAACCAAGCTTGCCTGAAAAATGAGTAAGAATTATCTACTGGGAGATAGCTATGGTAGCCGAGTGTGTCAAGAAGGATAGGAGCACTCAAGAGAGTCTGGAGAGAGGAGATTGGAGAGTCTAAACAGGTCAGATCAAGTCAGTCAAGGTAGAATCTGGATTTAAGTGCCTGAGATACTGTGACAGTTTTATTTTTTTTACAGGGAAAGGTCAAACACCTAATACTGACTGTCCATAGTGGAGAATGGCTAGAGAAGACAAAATGAATGCCAATAAGATGTATAGGCCAGGTGTGATGGCTCACACCTGTAATCCCAGCACTTTGAGAGGCCAAGGCAGAAAGACCACTTGAAACCAGGAGTTCAAGACCAGTCTGGGCAATGAGAAAGGTCAATTAGAAAGATAAGAAAAAAGAAGCAGACGGCACAGTGAGGGAAGAATGAAAATGATGGCACATCCCCCGAGAAGTACAAGAAACAGACAAGATGCTGCTGGATGGGGTGAGCAGAGGAAGTGCCGAGGAAATCTGTGGTTGCTGGCTTGAGAACTCAGGGAGTGATGCCATTGCTTGTTCGGAACACAGAAGCCAGTCAAAGTGGGAGGAAAGGGATTCTGGAAGGGAGTCATTTGGGACATCATAAATATTCCAGAGGTCTCACTCTGATGGAGATTATCATTAAAGATTTTCACCTCCAAG